TTTTTGGTATTTGTGACCAAGCAGCAAATAGTTAAATATCACCTGAAGTTTCCTCGCGCAATACATCTAAATTAAAGCAAATCATGCCAGTCCAAATGTAGAACCTTGGATTGAAAAATGTATGGAACACCCCATTTCGGTGGCCATTTTTAACGGTCCTGTAGAATTCTCATCATGACTCGAAAAGGATGAGTACTTTTATTCAGAGCATGTCTTATTCACTTCCAAAAAAGAGTGCCAACTAGGCCCCCTTTGTTCGAAATTCTAAATGGATCACAACAAATAATACAGCATCCATATCTTAGGAAAGACAGCACAGATCGGTAATTCTAATTAGGTTCAGCTGCATCAACAAGATAAATTTAATATAAATTCCGTGAAAAACATTAATTATGTGAACAGAAATTCTACATTTACAACCATGCACGTTACAACGGTATACTTGTTAGACGTAAAACATTACTCATAAGGTTACTGATAACTCTTCGACAGCCCACGACTTGTTTCGCCCTTCTCAGGGCTCATCAGGTAGGCGCATTCCCCAAGTTTCCGTCAACCTGATGCTCTGCTTAAATCCGAAATGCACAGATTTCGATAAATACACTGATTTGCATACCAATTTGGTTTTGAGGGGAGACTCACCTGGAATCCAGCTAACTCGCTCGTTTATGATATTCTTGTTGTGATAAGCTCTCATTTGCAAGTCTCCATTTTTCTACTCTAACTGACATCGCTGGCACACCACATGAATTTTTCTGGGTTCTGCCAATTTCAAGTCAAAATTGGTTGAATATCCAATTAGCAACTGCTTAAGTGACCAGTTTTGAGAATTCGTACCATCCTGTTTAGTTTCGCCTATGTGGGCACTTCTGAGGAAGAATTAATGAATGAATGGATCTCGTCACCCAATCCCTCATTTTAAAAGTCTTCAATTCTAGATGCCTGCCTGTCTAAAACTGGCAGTTGTTGAATCATGCCAAGATTACCCATTTCCCATTTCTGGACACACTTGTCCTCGTCAACTTAGTAGGAATTAACGCCTAAAATGGTCGTCTTGACGAGAACACTGATAATGTGAGTGGGCCGTCATGCCCGGAAGCACCACTGTTGAATTTGGAGACGTTTCAAACGCGCTTATATGGGTATGGACAGATTATATTGGTAATGCAGATCCGTTGGAACAATTCTACTTCTCAGGATTCCTACCAAAGCCACTGGAATTCATGTGGCGGTGGCCTGTTTTTGGTCGTGTGACCTTTGAACCCTTGGACCAGGGGGTCGAACCCTGTTACATTTACCTGATAGTTCCCGATCAAAACGGTCAGCATCGCTCATCAGTGTTCCAGGATTGATCAGTACTGCCTTAGTTCATTGTAACATTTTTGTATCGAAGCAACGCTACTGCTGAAAACTCTTCAAACGTTGCCCCATTAACGTTTCGCCTTTCATGACAGACATGCATAAGCAAACGTTTGTCGGAATTCGCGATGACGCCTGTGAAGGTAGAAAGTTATTCGGTCTTATTCAAACGCGAGCTAATGTTGCATTTTAAGGCATTGTTTATACATCAATGGCCGCACTCTCATCCTAAGAAATTCATAAATGTGGTGTGCATTTTACTTCGAAGCCTATAAGACGGTGAATCAAATTTTTCAAAAGTTAGGACTGAAATGAATATTGAAAAATCTGAGAGGCTTCAAACTATGAATAACAAGCGAATCTGGGTACACACCTAAACATTTCTCTTGATTATACCTTCACCCATTATTGTTCATCAGCGTTAGCCCTCAGATAGACCTCTGGTCTTACAGCAAGAGAAAAAATGTAACTGATGGGGAGATTTCACTCACGACATTCTGGTAGTATCTGAACACCAACAATCAATCAGTAATGTGATTTGCTCGAAATCGACAGAATAAAGCACCACTAGATCCCTCAGCATAGTTATCACAAGATTTTCTGGTGGCGCTGGATATGCTAGCAATTTGTAGGCAGCAGGCGGGCGCCTCCATTAGTATCACCAAGGCCACAAAGTGATTATTACGGCCCTAGTGAATTCGCGAGCTAAGTCCCAACCCTATTTTGGCTTTTGTGTGCCAGTGGATGCCCTCCGTACTTGCTACTGAGATTTTGGTACATCCCGCGTCATTTGGATTGGGAGCATCTATCCAATCTCTTGATGTACTCGCTTTTCATGTAGTCAGCTGAATCCTTGTGAAGGTAGACTAATTTGAAACAAAACCCGAAGAGTAAAAGCGCTGTAACAAACTTCACATTTGGTGATACTTTTCAGCATCAATCACTGTTTACTTAATTTCATCTCACGGTCATGTACGGTCATAATCGACAGTATGATGAGTGGATACAATCATCTCAGGACAAAGCAGGCTGGTTTGATGCGCCCACTTTAGATTTCAGCATTACATTTTGTCAAAATTCCGTACTGATGTACCTGGCCAGTGACTGCAGTTAGTTCTCTTCTAAATTCGTGAACTGAATGGGAATATGGTGTTGTTTGTAGAGCAAATTTTAGCTTAGCGGGATTTCGTTTATTACTGCTGCAACTCGGGTAGATGACTAGGACTTACTGGCGAAGCCCTGTCTCTATTGGGTCTGTTTAAACTGGGTTTAGTATGCAAAATTCATGCTGTAGAAACTAAGCATTGGACGCAAGCAGAGGATAACTCTTGAAGTGTAAAATCATTATATAGCTCAGAAAGAATTTGACTTCCCTTCCGACTGGTACCGTTGATTGTCACATCCATACAAACAGAAGAAACTTACAATTCTGTGAGTCGAAAACGGTATTCCAGATGAAAATTCGACCTTAGGGGTCTCGTAACAATTTAAAAAATTCCATGGCATCGTTGCCGAAATCAATAATATGGACATGCAGCTAGTAACACCGATGCTTTGGGCATGCGCTTATTACTCTACTCATGTACAATTGCTTAAGAGTTTCACTCAACCTCCAGATAAGTTCAAGCTTGTTTCAAAATGGCTGCGTACCACGAGCATGCGCGTGACTTGTAAACTGTGCCCATGTCTTCCTATAAGAGTGCAGCCGATTTCTGTGTGATCCCCCGAGTCGTTATTCAGTAGGTGCAGGTGCATTTTTCACCAAGGCTTTAACTACATTCATTCATACCCTCATCTTTTGCGCGCACAACTTCAGCGGATAAGCAGCAAGGAATAAAGAAGTGGCTTTGTAGAGCAGTACCATGTCTCAACAGCTTTTCATCGACTTTGAAATCCAGGTAAAAGAGGAACACCTGACCCAAAAATGCGTTGGTGAAAAAGAATTCAGCTGGGGGGGGGGGATAACTACATTCATTCATACCCTCATCTTTTGCGCGCACAACTTCAGCGGATAAGCAGCAAGGAATAAAGAAGTGGCTTTGTAGAGCAGTACCATGTCTCAACAGCTTTTCATCGACTTTGAAATCCAGGTAAAAGAGGAACACCTGACCCAAAAATGCGTTGGTGAAAAAGAATTCAGCTGGGTGGTAGGGTAATGCTAATACAAAAATACAAAAAATACAAAATATAATTTGTCTAGACTTTGTCTGTTAAAAGTGGTAACATAGCGAGGAATATAACATCATTTAATGGATTTCGGCCATGAAAGTAGATCGATTGTAAGGGACTAATGTAAAACAACTTGTTTTCCTCGCTGAGTATGCTCGTCTAAAAACACTAATTATCAAACAAATGCAATTTACTGGAATCAATCTACATCATTAGCGTGATGAATAGGTGCATCGGTTGTTGAGACGTCCGTAATTATTGTAATTAGTTTGATTGGTTTTCTGCCCTATTGTCGATATTGGCAGTATCAAGGACAACAACTGTAACCAAACCATAAGATCAGTAAACAAAAAGTCGACTTAACTTCATCACTCATTTCCATCTTTATGAATATAGCAAAAAAATCAACATTCCTATACCAAGAACTCAACGGCTTTTTTATTTCTTGAGAAACCTCATAAGCATGGTACTTAAACTCAGCATGGCTATATACCTTTCTGGAGGATATACAAATTAGAGATATTCTTCAGATAAATGTGCTGGCTAAGGGCATTTGATACGAGTTCGAGATATTGTGGTGTATTTTCTTGAGGAAATACAAAGTACTCAAAGGGCTTCTGAGGGCTCTCAGACAGAACACGATTGGTTTCATTCTTCTTGGGATATCGAATGATTTTCGATACCCTGATGAGCCTTCAAGGATCCGAAATTTTCAGTTATCAACGCCTGTCTATTCCATTTCTCGCTATCTGAATCACCAGAGTTCTCGTTTTTCACGCTATGTATTTTTCAGTGTAACCTGGTTGTTTGTCTTCATATTTTAAAACAGGTTTTTCTAAGCTCAAACACCTTTCTGGTAATCCTCTGACTCCAGTTGGCAGCAAAAAAGGCCTCACACCACTTCCCAAAGCAAATTAGTTTCAAACCATCTGGAATCGTATGGTATTCACTGATTAACTGCTCCATTGCATCGCTCACCGCCCCTGCCATACGCTTCACATATCTGGTACCTATACGTAAAGATTCAAGTTGACTGGTATGGATCGGCGATTTTCAAAGCTTAGTGACATCTTGCCTACTGATTCTCGCCTTTTTAAAATTGTAACAACATTCTAATTGTCCACTAGACTGGTTCACGAGTCATCTAGATGGGCCTGCTGTCGCAAACTCTAATGATCATGGATACTGTAGCCCGCTTAAAAATCAGGCAACTTAGATTGGCTAACAGACTAAAAACGGAGTTCATTATACATGGCTTATAAATGGAAGTTCATGAAACGTTATCGAATAGTAGTTGAAAATCGCTAACCAGAGAGCCTGGCTTCATTTGACGAAGATAGTCAAAAAATAAAATACATCTTGTCTTATGAAGTTGCCTCGGAATCAAAACTACACATTGTTTTCTCCATTATTCCTTGGGTATGTTTTGGGAAAATAACGTTTCCTTGCGTTTGCAAAACTGGTAAGAAGGGCTAGCAGCAAACTTCGCTGTTTGGAGTAAGTGCATCCTTTTTCTGAATCAAGTTTGAAGTAACTCCAATGTGAATGAACCCAGCCATTTGTTCATCTACTCCACAGTAGCCACGACTATCTGGATTGGTCTTGCTCTCCAGTAGGCTCAACCGACTGTCCATCAGGCTTACATTTGGAGCAATGTCCAGCCATTCTATATTATCGGTATATTGATGCAGTAAACACATTTCGGCTGGGAAGGGATTTTCCAAATAGTACGGATGATGAAGGCTGTCTAAGATCAAAAAAGTAGGGATTTACCGAAGGTCCTGGTATACAACTATTCAACATTGAAAAATCCTCCAAGGTTGGCACACCAGGTCTGATTAGCTTCACACCTCAGATTTCTCACTGACTTCATGAGGAAATCACCACAGGCTTGTTATCGTTCTAAGCAAATGACCCTTGCGAACTTCGGTGGTAAATAGGTTAAAACCAAACCATGATCAACTTGTCACCCGCAGCCAATTCGGTGAGATATATTTGGTTATCGCCCTTCATTTTGTCACTGACCACCAAATGAACCACAGCTTGTAATACATATGAAGAATTCAAGGCTAGGTACCTGAGAAATGATGGGTTTATGACATAATAAGTAAGGAACAAGCTAAGTTTCGCTAACACCAGAGAAGTAGCCCCTGAACCCTGTAGTCCATCTCCGGCAATTTGGTAATCTGTTGAATATTTTTAACTGACACTCTTGATTTTCTTTGCCGAGATTCTGATTTCCAAGTATTGGATTCGAGCTTCCCCCTCACATCAAGACATTTGACATTCGAGATAACCTGCTTCGTCAGCGCACGTGTAAAATTATTGATTGTGAAAATTTGTCTTTTTAAATGGAAACAATTTGGGAGAGAATGATCAGATGGATTGCATTAGAACCGGTGGAAGACCAGAACCTTATTGATGCATAAAAAGGCAATCAGGAATATCCCAATTTGGATTGATCCAGAAATCCTTCAGCAGCGTGACACTAAATCCTAGATATCAAAATTTAAAACTCTATTCAACGTCTTGCAAAATCTTTGGCATCAAAAGCCATCTTACTAAGATCTCCTCAGCCGTGTGCAGATAATTTATCACTGATCAAAAGGATTAAGTTTTAATTTTAGGGAAAAAAGCACATGTGCTTACGGTCACCGAACAGAAAATTTTCTACCAGAAAATGCGTATCTACCTGGTAGATCCCAAAAAGTCGCTGACTTGGTTATTTTACTTGGGTGCTAGTGATAACTAGACCTCTCTCGGATCTAGGACTCCTTGGGAAATTGTGCCTTAAGGGATATGTGAAATTGGATTTCTCGTCGGCAACAGTGCAAGCTGATACTTGAGAACCGTTTCTGTGAAGCAAATGTTTCGCCAAGCGTGAGGTAACTCTCCTGTCACTTACTTAAGGCATCGATCATCTGCCGGACACTTGTAATTCAGCTCGTAGTCGTGAAGTGGTTTAAAACAAGGCTAAACTAAGGCCCGTAGCTTTTGAGTACGGTAGGCACTAAGGTTACAAAATATCCGGCGAGCCCAATTGGTTCTTCATTATGCTAGTTTAGCTGTAAATAAGAGAAACTTCACCTTTACTGATATAACTGATTATGTATCAGGCTACCAAAAACCCTTCAGTGGCTGAAGACCCTCTTCACCATTCTTGGGGCCCATCAAGTTTCTGGCAACTCCAGGTCCTACTTGAACTCTCAATCGGATACAAATGGCAAGGTATAATGACTGACAAATTGACCTTGAAATAACGGGAGTCACGTAAAGAAAATGTACTTTGGCACCCCAAATATCATTCTAAATATAAAACGAGACAACCTCTGTGCGGCACATTCGATTGACAAATGTCAAGAACGAGATATCCATTGGAGTCTCCCATGAACAACAAAGTACTTTGCAAATGTTCTACTAGTGGATTTGTTTAGGCCTCCACGGACAATGATTACAAACATATATTCTCGCGTGTCTTGAATAGACATACCTGAGGGCTCAAAGACATTAAATTATAACTGGCCTTCATTCAGACACAGATCAAATCAAATATTACCTTCAAGAATATTTACTCCAAGAACAAAGTTTATACTGACATTCGAATGAATAAATTTCACAATGTAACTTAGTTCAGTGTTTCGATGGTGAAAGGTACTTAAGAGGATCTTCCCTCCTTTGCCATTTCCTCGTTTGTGCGATTACTGTTTTCTCTTCTTTTCCACTTGGACCGAACACTCTCGCAAAGGAGGAAAACATTTCGGTAGACTGCACCACCACTACATGTTTTGTTGAACAGGTGATTCTATTTGATTTTCGTTACATGAATGCCGCCTTTGCTGTGACTCATTCATAGACAAGTTTTTCGGTCCAAACAACTATCTAGTTGTTCGTTCGGTCACACAAACTAGTGTCTATCGTGGAGGTAACGCATCACATTCGATCCACATTTGCAAAGATCAAAACCGACGCATTGGGAAAATGGGTAACAGATGTTCAATGAGGATAGCAGTGTTTATCAGCTAATGGAATTGTGCGATTTGTACAAGATAAAAATGCTGCGGTAGGGAATTCGAAATTAAGTTAAGAAGATTCATTCGGACTTGATTTAAATGGCATACTAAACCCAGGGATTTTCGTGATAACTATTTTACCGCGAATTTTATTGTCACTTTGGCCACCGTGAATTGGATTGTGGTGCCATGCATCGAAAATCGAACTTATCCTGTATGGACCCTCCACTCTCACTCGGCAAGCGTTTTAGGGGGGTGGTTACACCTGAACATACCTTTGATTGTAGTTAATAGAGGACTCACCAATAATCACTGTGGTCTCCGTATGCTCTCAACCGTTTGCCCCTCGTAGCTAAACATGGATACAATCGATGAATATTAATGATGAGTTGAGTTCAACCGCCAGTTTAAGATAGTATCCTAATCCATTAGGAATATTGCATCTTGGGTCATGGTTAGCTAGTCCGACTACATTTATCGTCAAAGTCGTTGGAGCAGAAAGTAAGCTCATTGGGCTGCGGTAGTTCAGACGCGTATCAAGCATTTCCATCTTTCACCACTGTCGAAAACGCTGCCTTCAACGTCAAGCCTTTGCAGGCGAGACATTCATGGGACAGAGGTCGTGACACGGTGACGCAAAAGGGAAGCGGCTACAGTCAAACTGAGTACTGCATGGCCTCTGTTTTCTTGAACCATGTGATTCTATTTTCTTGGACCATATGATTCTATTTGTGCGTAGCTTGAAAGCTTACGGAACATGACAGGCAACCGACACCAGCTAGCACCCTCCGGCTGGTCCTTCAAGCTAACCTTTGACACTCGATGCTGGACTCATGCTGGAAAAGGGTTAAAAACAGACTGGTTCAATTCCGTTGGCAGCGTCATGTTGATCAGATGTTTGTTTCATTGTCATTCAAAGACCCAGGTATGATAGTCTTGATCATTATCCATCAGTATATGGGTTTTTGCACAAGTTCTCCGCATTTTCCACTTCAACCCTTCACCACAGTTGTGGGGCATTTAAGGCTCAGTATTCCCCAGTGTTGTACTGCTGACGAGAATAGTGATGCTGATTTGTTGGTTAGTAGTTTGCACTCTACTTTGATCTGGTAAACTAGTTGAAGTCTGTTATGTGCAGTCACATGAACACATATTTATGGTTGATGCAATCGAAAACTGGTGCCAACATTTTGTGGACTTATTTGGATATACAGGATTTCATGGGCTACGAATGTTTGCATTATTCATTAGTTTCCACTCAAGTTGCATATCCTGTCATTACAAAGATTGACAGACGTAATGAAGTCGCCATACATGTCACCACCCAGCGACGTACCAAACAAAGTATCTGAGTGGATTGAGGTCACAAACCAAATTGCAGAGTAAGATGGTTCTTGTGAGAGTTACAGATAAATCTCAATGGAGTCTTTTGTTTACACTATTCTCTAGTTCAATTTGGTGCAAAAATCCGCCCCGAATTTCAATCCGGATGGAAGGTGGGATATCGAAGTACATTTCAACCTTACATGTAACACCTTGCCTGAAAAACTTAGTAAACAGGAGTAAAAGTAAGCTATTCTAATTAATTATACTAATCAGATAAAAGGTGTTACGTCCCTATAGATGGACTTCCTACGTGCCTCATCTGTAGTCATTCGTCAGGAAGCTACTCACTCTTTCAGACTCAGGCCATGGTCGAATAAGGATGACACCGTTCTTTAAACGGCTAATGAACGCGCTGAGGTTCACAATTTCGGTGAATCCCATGATTTCGGAAGGAGGCTTGACGATGGTTGATAAAACTTGAAAACACCGGTGTAGTTATAGAAATTTGATATTTTTCAACCGAACGAAACCCATGAATTTGTGTGAGGTTGCTTTGCACATACTGCGAATTATCTACTTGGTTCACAATAATTCTTTTTGAGGAGAAGGCTGTCCCGCATATCTAATGAAGGGGCTAGGTCATTTACAGAGAAACTGGAAGCCTAAAAATACCAGGATCGAATGTAGGATGAATAACTCCATTATATCCGGTCAATTTTTAAGGGTAACGAAAACGTCACATCAGGTTTTCCTTTCCATGATTACTCAGACGGACAGAAATACATTTTTATTGGAATGCCACCACCCATAACGTTTATAAAGAACTCTGCACGGTTCACTACCTCTTCCACCCCTCTTGAGTCTCATCAGATTTGTCCGATTCCACAATTTCTATCGATACTATTGCGTGCTGAAATACTGGATTTGAAGTGTTCAGCGAAACGCCCATTTGAGAAAAGTTGCTGTTAACTGGACCTGACTGAATCTTACTGCTATTATTTACCTCAAGTTTCTGCAAATAAGCCACCTTGTGTTTTATTAGGAATAACAGTCAAGATAGCATGGTCATGTTCTCGATGAGGCACCATTCATAAGACTGGCGAGAACACCAGGATAGCTCATTACCAGCCCCAGCCTCCAGCTGAGGCTGGTACCAAGGGTGTGAAAAACTTTGAGCTGTTTCACATCATTTCGTTGTTCACTCTTACCTGCAAATAATTCAGTGGAAAAACAGACAAAACTTCATTTTTAGAATTATTATGGGTAGCAAACAGCTGCAAGAATAAATCTCCATTTGGAATTATTGGCTTCCGCAAAATACACACCTGAGGTGCGCAACTACACACTGTATATTGAATATCCAC